TCCCATCTCTCCCTGCCCTCTGGCAGTGGGCAGCCATTCCCCCTTGTCCTGTCTCTCCAGGCCTTTGTCCAAAGTCCTTCTCCAGCTCTGGTTTGGGGATCAGTGCTTGAAAAAAACAGCAAAAAATTCTGAGGAGGGAGACAGAACAGACATTATTCCAGGACTGTAGTTTTCTACAGGGTACAAAACATTAATTTTTAAAGAGCTGTAAGGTATCTTCATTGAGGAAGTCCCAGGAGAAAACATCTGATGCTGAGGATTGTTTAATGCCCTTGAGAAAGATGAATTGGAATGAATGGAGAACTAAGCCAGACATATTCTGATTAGAAATAAAAGCCTTATTTTGAATAATGAGAATAATTAACTGCTGTGAGAGGCACGTGAGAGCAGCAGCAGATTTTCCAGCACTGTGGAGAGGGGAAGTTTTTGGGTACAAAGTTGTTTTCTCAGTGACATCTTTGGAGGACCAAGAAGCTCTCCTGTCCTCACTCCTGGTTTGCCCCCCAGCTCCTACTTCTGTGCATGTTTGCAGTGTGACAATTCCTGGTATTTCTGAGCTGTTCCTGTCCATCCACTTTGGATGGGCTCTTCTCAGCAAGGATAGATCTCAGAATCCCAGAATTTCCTGAGTTGGAAGTGACCCACAGGGACCACCGAAGCCCAAGGAACATCACAGTCCAAGTCACCAGGGTCTCTACAATCCTCCTGGGCTGCTTTAGCCCTGCTGTGTTGTCCTTCAGTGTCAGTTCTGAGCTGTTTTACCCTTAAAGCCCCTCCCTTTCCACACAGGGCTCTGTGACCTGCAGGTGAATGCCAGCAGTGAAGTTTTATGGGTACAACACTTGTTTGCACAGTTTGAAGTTCCCAGAATGGGGTGGAGGAACATGTGGACAACAGTGATGAGTTTCTGATGGGCAAATCTACACGGAGCCAAAGCTCTGGGTAGAGTCTGAAGGGACTCCAGAGTTTTCCAAGGCCACCCAGAAGCAGAATTCATGACTGTTTTCCACACACCTTCCTATGAGCATCTCCAGCCACGGCTCTTCCATGAACAAATAGAAAATCAATGCCAAGCACACTGTGGAAAGTCCCCTCAGAAGGATTCTATGTGGATTTTGCAATATACTGGTTAAAAAGGAATTATTTTAGCTTTAAAAGGTTGACATTTGTTGACATGTGGCTGTGCCAGGTGCCAGGGGACAGCACCAGGGCCAACGTGAGCCGGTGGGAAGCAACTCGTTTGCTTCCTCAGTGAGAAATTCTTCCCTGTATTATGGAATCATGGAACCATGGAATGGTTTGGGTTGGGAGGGACCTTAAAGATCATCCAGTTCTAGCCTCTGCCACAGGCAGGGGCACCTTCCATTATCCCAGGTTGCTCCATGTCCTGTCTAACCTTGGACATTCCCATGGATGGGGCAGCCACAGCTTCTCTGGGCAACCTGTGCCAGTGCCTTCCCACCCTCCCAGCCAGGAATTCCCTCCCAATATCCCATCTAACCCTGCCCTCTTAGTTCAAAACCATTCCCCCTTGTGCTATCCTGTCACATCTCAGTGAGCAGGAGGCAGAGCCAGCGGACAGGAGGGTGGTGGGGCACTGCCACTGCTGTCCCCAGTGGGCAGAGGGGCTGTCGGTGGCAGTGAGGGGATGAGGGATGAATCATGGGGACAGGGAGCAACCTGGCATTGGTGCCATGTCCCAGGTGCGCGTGGCAGCAGATTTTGTCCAAGCAGACAACTGCAG